AAACGGCAGTAATTTTCGGAAGACCTGGTAGATGTCGGATTTCTAATGGTGTCTGCGGATAGAACTTGTTGAGTCGGTTCCGATCCCCCCGAACTATTTCATAACTGATGTTGGCGAAATGCCGAAATGCATTTGACAAACGAAACCAACGAGAATGGGCGGATAATCGGAAACGACCAAACAAGAGGCTCATCCTTCAGACCTGAACGAAAAATCCTGACAAATATTTAAAAACTTTGCCTTAATTTAGATTTTATAAATTAATTCTGTGGCCTATTGCCTTCTTTGGGAAGATATAAATAATATATGAATAGATAAATATAATTGATAAATCAGGTGTTTGGGCATTGTAATATAATACAATACGTATAAAGACTTAATTTTCTATTGTTTACTGGATAAATACCAGAAGACAAAATATTAGAAGAATAGGAAGATGAAGTTGTGAGCTATATCATCCATTCTAATCTTGGTTAAGTGACAGGTATTTCTTTTAAGGGAATGAGATATCATTGAGATAGAAGATAACTACGATTGGTGTAAAACTCAAGTAACACTATTTTTGGTGCATCCGGCTTTCGTGTCTGAAATAATAGAAGCGTCCTAATTAATGCTAGGTTCTTTCCTTTGACAATATAACATCTTGGGTAGGCCGCCGCTTCGTTGTTAACGTAGACAATGCTTTATATAAATCGGTTCCCGGCGAAATTGCTGCTATTTGGCGTTGATGAGAATCATTATTTTGAATAAAGTGTTATTTTCATTTCCTTGAGTCTCACCATGGGATGATATTCTCGGCCGGGAATGAAACTGGGATTGCTTGTAACAAAGCGCAATTGAAAATCTTTATGCAAAATTGTTGAATTTAAACAAAATAATCTATCCTCTATATTGAAGTTTACAGATAGAATTTCTCAGCTTATCAGGTTTCATAATTACACAATTGGATGGTTTTTGATTTCTTTATCCTTTCGCATTTTTTCCTTTGATAATACTATTTACCTGATTTCTTATTTTAGAAAAGGTTTTTTTTTTGCATACGCTTTTCTCAATATCAATCCCACTTTGAACCTTTTCATTTTTTTAAATCACTTGTAAACTGAAGCATGCATTTTTAAAATAAAATTTATAACTATTTTTTTCTATTATTCGTTTTTTTTTGTAAAACTAAAAGAAAAGGCTTTTACTTTTTCCGTTCTTTAGAAATGCTTGTGTCGTCATAAAAATGCCCGAAAATCTTCTTTAAACTTTATTTAAAGATAAAGAGGAATAAGTATAATTTCGTAACTTTCTAACTAAAATTACCGAAAAATATTTTTTCTTTTCTTTTTGACATTTTTTACATGTCTCAATGGGCCTAAAAAGAATTTGTAACTTTATTTTGTGCTATGAAATCCGTCTACTATCCGTGTTCTTTAGAATTACTATCATCAAGACAAACACGGTATCAAAACATTTCTAAACGTCGTTAATACACGTAAGTAAACGGAAATAAGAGAAAAATAATATAACGAATAATATACGAAAAAAAGATTGTTCAGAAGCTTTTTTTTGTTAACTAGATGATTTGAAAAATTCTTTTACTTTCCAAATTTTATAAAACTTACCACCAAATAATGTTTTTTCTTTTTAAAATTGTTACAAGTTATATAATTGTCTCGTAGAAATTGCCTTTGCAACTTGATTTTATATAATAATAATTCATCTACTTTTTGTGTTCTTTAGAATCGCTGTCATAATGTCAACGTGTAGCGTCAAAATGTTTTAACTCCGACAAAAAATTTAACTAGAACGAATAATTGTTTAAAAAATATCCGTCCCTGAGAAGAAGGTATTTGTGTTAGGTATCGTGATGTTCAGCTACTCTTAACATCTTATAAAAATGTACCAACGATTGAATTTTCTTTACTTTGAAAACATTTTAGTTATATTTAGTTACAAAAATGTATCTCAAAAATTGTCTTTATAACTACATTTTATCTGCGTTTTGTTTAGAATTCCTTTCATCATGCGAAACAATCTCAATTGAGGTATAATCCTTTTTTCAACTGATATCAGAATACCGAAGATTAATAGAAGAAAATTTTTTTAAAGTGTTTTTCTTTTTAAATCTTTTTACACGTTAAAAATTGTACCCACAAATGAATTTTCCTTTCATTTTTATATTTCTTTATGTTATATAAACTGTACCCGAATATAGGTTTGATGATTTGTTTTATGAAAAACAACTTTTTCTACTTGTTTATTTGTTACAATACGTATCATCATAAAAAAAGTTCCAAATAGGATTGAACAACATGCGTAAAAAAACAAAGATTTTTTGAGTCGATATTTTGGATACAATATAATTTTAAAAGTATGGTACTTTTTAAGCAATAAAAACTATTTATCAACAAATCTACCAATAAATGATTTTTTTTAAGGAGAGTACTTTTTATATTGCATTTTTTGTGTTCTTTTTGTGTTTTTCGAAGGTTGCATAACTAATTTATTTCACATCTGCAAATACAGCTAAACAACGAAATCTGGAATTAACAAACGTTTTTCTGAACTTGAGAACGTTGTCTGTTTATTTTGTTAGTATTGTAATTGTAGTATCATTTATGTAAGCGTTTGGTGCATTGTTTTTAAAACTTTATCTATATCCCATTTCACGAAATAGTTAAATCAAGGGAAACTCAATTCAATTTATGCTCATGATTGACTTCATAGTTTAACAAAATTTGATTTTCAGTTGTTTTACTGAAATAATATCTTTAAACATGCTTGTTGTTTCGTACAATTGGAGTGCCATGGGACGGGTAAATGGGTGAAATTCACTGGAAAGGATGCGAGAAGCGGTCTAGTGTTAAAACCCGTCTGTCCAGTTGAGAAAGTCAAAGATGGAGGTCCTCGATCCATTAATGTGAGCTTGCGTGACCGCCGGACATCTCTGAGGATTAGTCTTGTTTGCAAATGGAAGGATGAAAGGAAAGTTTGAACAATAACTTTTATAAAAAAAAAATTGTTTCTGCGAGTAATAATTCAAATAGTTTGGAAAAAAAAAACGAAAAAAGAAACATGGGTGAATCACGGCGCCGAAGGTCTACCATACCCGCAACACATCCCGGTCTTCTCAAATGGTAGTTTAAAGCGCCATGAACTATAAAACATCGTAATTTATAAATATTTAATGTACCAAATATTGTGCAAAAAAGGAAAGGAAGAAAAAAAAAAACGAAAAAAGAAACGTGGGGTGAATCACGTTGCGGCGTTGAAGGTCTACTATGGGGCAACGTCAAAGCATGGTGTCTTCACAAATGGTAGTTGTGCCGTATACTAAGAAAACGTAAATATTATTACAGATAGATTTAGTTCTTACTTTTTGATTTTGAAAACGCGCTTTGGAATTTTCCATCGAGGAGAGCCAAACAAATTTCACGATTCGCATTCCCATAATTTCTTCATGGGAAAGTGAGAACAGGAAAATAATTTCCTTTCAAGGTCGAGCCTGTTATTCTAATAAGGTTACTATTCATTCTTACCAACTGTCAGACTCGTGACGATTAAGCAAATTTTCGAGCAAAATAGCACGCCGTGAAATCGCCATTGCCTTGGATAAGAGATGGAAATTTTCCGAGAATTCGAGATAAGATCGTAATGGTTGATTGATCTTCGTGTTCGCGGAATGTATATAAAATATGGAAAACCTATTCGAAAAAATTACATCTGCAGTCGTATCAGAACCCTTGATTCGATCGATTTCGCCTTTTTTTACCACTAATAGTGATAATGATAGAAAAATTAAATCCTTCATCGGTCTGGCCAGGACGCGTAGATTATTAAGTTACTGAAGAAGTAGTCTACAAACACTAAGATAATACGAAATTTTGAAGAATGTCTGTTAAGAAAAAAACTCAATTTAATGAGATTTTATCTTCCGTTGATCCTTTAAAATTGTTTACAGGGGCTTCATTAATTATGTGTTAAGAAGAACCCAGTCGTGTCCTTGGGTTGGGGTAATGTAAATTAATTAAATTGGCAATTAAAAGTTGATCTCCCTACGAAGACGCCTGGCTCTCTTTTGAGTAATGGCCGATATAAACTATGCCTTATTTTGGCCCTCCTTACTTCTCGTAATACTAAAAAGACAATTTACAGTATTTAATGGGCCGTTTCTGTTAACATTATTTGAACCTGGTAAATTATAATGTCTTGATATTTTAGCGGAAAACGCCTTTAACATCAAGATGAAACAAGAGGTCGTGGATCGATAATAATCTCAATTTCAAAGACATCAAGGTCTATATCGGATCATATCTGAAACCTCTCAAAGATCCGATTTCGTTTAATGATGCGTTAAGATCTATTTTTTTAAGGATGGCCCATCTTAGGATAACACACTAATCTTTTATCTAAATTACTCACCATGGATTATTAAATATTATGTGTAACAATCTGTTACAAAGGAAATAGAGGTTTATGAGTTAAATTAATTTACCTAAATAAGTATCCTTGGATCATAAAAAAAGTAAACACGATATTTAAAAAATCCCTTGGCCATTTTGTTTAAAAATATTTGAAAGTCAAGTAGGAATAGTTAAAAGAGGTTTGGACATGGGATAAAAGGTCAGGGACAAACTGATGGTTTGGTTAGATAAACAAAAGGTAGAATCGAGTATTTTTAGGAACGATTTGGTTTGTTGGGATCTTTTTCCTATTGAACCGTTTGGGCGAACCGCAAGGTACCTAAAAGACTTTTGTTTCCGCTGTTTAAATCAATAGGCTGTTAAAGCGTTTAGGTCATCGGTTGAGTGATCACCATGATCCATTAGATCGGAAAATTATACGAAACTTCCCAATTGAATGAAGAGTGGACTTTTTATTTCCTTTAACCTCATCCAACTTAGAGATAATCGCTTTGAAGACTGTTGCCAGTGATCAGATGAATATAGGTTATGATCAGATAGGGAATAAACGGAGGTTATTACATTGAAAAATTTAATAGTTCTTATTCTTACCTGTATCACCGGTTAAATTGAGGCTTGCAAAGTCGTGGTAACCGAGCACGCCGCAACACCTGTACTGAGTTTGTACCGCGTCCCACAGCGACGTGAATTGTGAATCGACACCGTATCTGAAATAAAAAGTAGCTAGAGTCTCGCCAGAAGGACCGCCGTGATCGTATCACCTTATGGCTAAGCTTTGTTTCAGTAAGGGCCTGAGTTCCGTCGCTATCCTCTCGAACCTGAAGAGCCAGACGACACCGAGAAGTATGTCACCGAGTAGCAGGGCGAGTATAAGAAGCCAGTATATGTTGAGGAGCCTTTCGTTCAGCCGCTGGGCCCCCAAGCATCCGATAAACTGGAGGAGCCCCGATTGGAAAATCAGGGTGGCGTAGGCGTAGAGGAAGCTGGGCTGACTCAGGCTTAAGCTGGGTATGAGGAGGCGGCGAGGGTCCAGCACAAGAACCTAAAATCAATAATAAAAAATCGATTACAATTATGATTACACTATGGCCAGGGCAACACTCGTTGCCTCAATATGTTCACTCTATATGTTTGTTGGTTTTTGACTGTCAAAACAGGTTTCAACCTAAAATTTTTCGGAGTAATCCAATTATACGGTCTCATAGGTTTGTATGACGATACTACTACCGTCTGATATCTAGATATAGTCTAAAGTATCTTTCTTGAGTGGATGTCTGTACGCTGGGTACATTTTTCCTCATCCTGTCTTGTCTTCTACGTTTTGCACCTTTATTTGATAAGCTCAAGGTGGTCTTCGATATTGGACGTTGCTTGGAAGAGAAAGCGGACTTGAACAATAATATTGGATAGATAAAGAGCGTGCACTGCTTTCCGAAGCAAGATCGGGTCAGCTAGAGTAAGGAAGTTTAAAATTGGTGTGAGGACTTGGAAAGATTGGACGTACTGGCTATTGAATCACTCGGTGGAACCCAACATTTTCACTTCATATGTCACATTTTTGTTAATTTAATCTTTGATATGTTCAAAGTGTTTTTAGATATTGAAGGTTGCTTCTATAAGATTCGGGTTAGAATATAAAATTGTAATATCAACCATATAAGTGGAGTTGGAAAATTTAGGAAATTTAGAAGTAGATAGAGTATACGATGGGTCGTAGACTGCTCCCTTGTGGGACACCGGCTTATTTTAGTCGGCTGGTCTAATTTTTAAGCCGCAGTTAGTTATAGAGGTCAGCCCTGTGGGACATCCAGAAACGCTCTTAAGCTTAATACTCTTTTTTTCTCTAAAGCGAAGGAAAACAGTTTTTATCCAGCTAACCTTATCCTATAAAATTTCTTAGTAAACCAAGTTAACGGCTGTGTTCTAATTGAAAACCACGCTCGAAAATGGTTTTTATAACTCTAATATATTATTGACTAACAAATGAAATTAAAGAGCAAACAAAAGATTTCTTTTTGTATGTCCGTTGTTAAACCATGTTAACTAAGTTTTACAGTGACCGTGTCATAAGAGATTTTTTCATCAAATTAACCCTTTTTTAACTTCCAATTAACTTGTTTAATTTCAAATAATCCATTTTTAACGTTAAATTAACCCTTTCTTTAAAGTATTAAAGAAATTTAACAGGCAGTATGTATAAGCATGTAAGGTAAAATTCTTAAAATTAAAAAAGGTATATATTTGGGCTGTTATAGATTAGATAATAAGATTACGATTAAATTATATGCCATTAAATATACAGTTATTTTTCCTTCACATTGACCATTTTACTTCAAATTAACATTTTTATTTGTTTTAAATGAATTTTTTAAACTTCAAATGAACCTTTTTAAAATTCAAATTAACCCTTTTAATTTTAAATTAATCATTTTTTTATTTTTAATTATCTTTGTTAACTTTGAGTTCACTTTTTAACTTGAATTTAATCCTTTTTAATTTCAAATTAAACCTTCCTTTTAACCATTAAAAACAACTTAGGAGACGATATGACATATCAGTATGTAAAGTAAAATTCCTGTTTATTTTCGCATTTTTTAAATAAAAAATAATTCGACCGTTAGAAGACTTTTGAAATTGAATATAAAAACAAATAAATGGTTTTTCTATCAGTTCTAGATTTTTTAAAATATAAACTAATTGGTCTGTAAAATAATTATTTTATGTTAAAAACAAGTGAATTTATTAGAAGAGTAAATTATTTTTATAATTAATTGTATGTTTTGAAGGCAATTTATTTCCAAACATGGAATTTTGAAGATAAATTTGTCTTACTTAAAATAATTATTCAGAAATCGTGAGATGCGGTCTGGTGTGATAGTAGCTTTCAGAAAAACATTTGCTTTATCGTGCCAACGTTTCGATCTTTATTGAGATCATCTTCAGGGCTCAAAGGGTTTGTCTTCTGTGTAGATGTGTCATTCTTGCGTGTTGTGTTGACAGTGCCCTGAAACCTACATCACACCAGACCGTATCTCATGATTTCTGAATACTTATCGATTAACGGTCACTAATCACCACACACTTATTTAAAATTTTGAATTATTTTAGAAAACATTTCCATGTGATTTGTTAAATAAAAAAAGGAAATTTACTTTAGTTTGATATTAAATTTTATATAATTTTTAATTGTACTTGTAATTAATTTTTAATGATATTTTAAAATCCCAATTATTTTTTTATTTAAAAATTACAATATATAGTAATTTAGTTTCTTTACATGCTTTTATTTCATCCCGCCTTCTTTTTGAAGTTTACCTTTTACCTTCAATTTGTTAATGATTCAAAGAAATGTGTAATTTAAATTAAAAAAGGTTAATTTGAAATCAAAAATGGCTAATTCGGAAGAGCCAAATACGTGTCGTAAATGGATTTTTATAATTTATAAAAGGTCTGAATAGCCAATTATCAACACCTTTGAAAATTTCTGTATACTTTTTATAAATAAAAAATGATCTTAAAAAGTTCGGTTAAACCTGTCTTTAGTGATCCTTAATACGTGATCAGTCAAACCAGATTAACCTTTTGTGTTACTGTCACAATGATAAAAACAAATGCATTTAGATGAATATATAAATTATTCTGTTTACCAGACGGAAGTAATTTGTTTAAAAGAACAAGTGATAGGATATTAAATTTGTGTTTACTCATGGCAGATTAATAGCAAATACCTTATGTCATTCTTTTCGAAAAGTAATAGTTGAAACCAAGGATTATAAACCATTTGTCCTTGCAATATTCACTGCAATATTCACACATGGATAAACAAGTAGACAACAAAAAAGGTAGGGCATGTCGACAAATGACCCAACTTCTCACAACTTTCCCCTAATATATATAAATTCAAGACTTGCCTACTGAATATTTCGCTCTGAACTAACTAGTTTGAACGTATAAACTTCTTTCCCAATATTATAGTCACGGCAGATAAATCGAGACAATTTCTCCGCCTGCAGATTTATCACGGATGATAGAGATGTTTATTACTCTTTTGAGCTTTCAGAACTGTTCTGGCACTCCTGTTTTTGACACAGGATACATCATAATATTTCCTTTGCCCTATTTGACATAGTGCTTTCTGGCATGAAGCATGAACAGATAAGTGCAGTAAATAACATTGACTAATACGTATCCTGATTTTTTCTCTTTTGGCTAGGGGATTGCATTAATAAACACATAATGAAAGTATTAAACTGGTCTTAAATTACAGAATATTTTGAAAACAAACAAACGTTTTAAGTTGGTAACGACTTCTCGATTTCAGGGCTCCAATCAATTGCTTTATCAAGTTTGTTAAATTGTTTCGGAAACAAAGCTAGTCTTTACTTAAGCGTTTTGATTCGGAACAAGGCAAGCTGAACTTCGGAAATTCGGGGTAACTATTAGTTGTGGCATAACGTTCAATTTTGCTCGGGAGCAGAGTGGCACATCTGTGCTGGAATTATATTTTCCAAGGCGGAATACTGGAAGGGTTTTGAACGGTTTATATGGTATATAATATTCGCCGAGCCCAACGTACTAATTAGTGAAGTTAACTTTTTCATTCTCCCATCTTATCAATTTACAAAACCTCTAAACAAAATTTAGAATTTTGTCTATAAGGGCCGATTGCAATAAAGCCCTGTTAATTTCGTTCTTTCTTAATGGTAGAAAGAGAAATAAAAGCTTTTCCGTTTTGACCAACTTCGTTCAGTTACAACAGATTACTTTTTCCTCTTAAGGGCGGTCTCTGAAAACAATTTTTAATATCGGCTAACCGATTCTAGTCAAGTATGAATGCTAATAATAATTTTTTAATGCAAAAAAAAAGATTCTTTACCAAATTGGATTGAAGTTATTTTGAACTCTGAATATAAGTTCTTTTAGAATTCTAGAACATCTATTAAAACGTGAGAATTTTTGTATCCAATTTTAGAAAAATTGCTGATAAACCATTTTGTCAATACAATTTTATAAATAATTTTATACTGTTAATATCAAATAATTTTTTGTTTCCAACATTGAAGGCTGTGATTTGCCAAGTGGAAATCATAATAAACGAATGTTGGTTACAAATAGTTAGTATAAATATTTGAAAACAAATGATAAATTAAAGGAAAGATGTGATTTTTAATACGTAAATATCAAATGGACGTTATTAGTAATTTCTATTCGCTCACCCAATTACTTCTGGGTATTTTAAATGTTACGTTATTTTACCAATTTGATGATTCTTTGAACAAGCTAACATAAGATTAAGATTAAGCTTTAGATTCACTATTTTCGGGGTCCGCTTGACCAATTAATATCATTCATTTATTTAAGGTTTCTAAGTTGAGGTAAAAAAGTCTGTGTCACGAGCGAGATTCGAACCCACGACCTTCTGCTTGATACGCCGCTACTCTACCACTTGAGCCATCCACTCGAACACTAACTTCCCATCTCAACCCCACCTTTTTTGAATTTTCCCTCCTTTTTGCCATTTTTCAATAGATTCAAAGATTACACGACATTTGAAAAATGGCAAAAAGGAGGGAAAATTAAAAAAATGTGGGGTTGAGATGGGAAGTTAGTGCCCGAGGAGATCGAAGTCACGATAGCTCAAGTGGTAGAGTAGCGGCGTATCAAGCCGAAGGTCGTGGGTTCGAATCCCGCTCGTGACACTGACTTTTTTATCTCAACTTAAAAACCTTAAATAATTGAATTAAGCTTTAGTTTTAGTTAATCTCACTGGTTTTATTTTTTGCTGTTTTATTAATGATAATTTGCCAGATAATTAGTAATTGAGTAAACAACCTATGTAAATTGGAAGAATATTAATGTAAAAACTTGCGTTAGGTGTGTAAGTTAACGTATTTGCAGCCTGAGTAATATAAGGTTGTCCTGACCGGATTCAGATTAGGCCATGTATGGTTGACCAACCTACTCACGGCCTAAAGGTGTAGAGAAAGATTACTTGATATGTCTTTTATAATAGAAAAAGGTCTTGTGTCTTTATATGAAGCGAGTAGGCATGCTACTAGATATTGAGATAAGTGTGAAAGAATACATTTCTGAATTTTTCTTTTGCAGAAAATGGGATATTATCTGCAGTCATTGCTTTTTCTATGTTTTCATGATCTGAGAGGATCGTCCTTTGGTATAATTATGTATGCTTTTTTTTTTGCAATTTTCATGCATTGCGAGCTTAAGTGACTCAGCTCATCGAGTTCCAAAGTTCGTTGGTTGATCGGATAAGTCCTAGTTGTAACAATATAGTAAGTGATTTCCACAGCTTCCCGTAAGTTGTAATTCCACTACAAGAAATTCTTAGGTACAACTTAAAGCTTAAGTCTCAAGCCGTTGTGTCCACAGGGTGTCTGCGCTACCTCTGTTTGCTTAAAAGATCTAGGGAATTACATCTATCTCTGATGTTTCGCATCGTTAGACATATTTTATAGATTTGTTACCGTTTTGATTTTACCTTTGTCGCGACGACACAAAAGCCGACGACGCTGATGAAGAGAAGAGCGTTGCAGGTATAAATCCAGAGACGGTAGTACCTCATGGTAGGGAACGGTTGGGGGGCGGGTGCCCTCAGTGGGTTAACAGGGTACTGAGGCTGACGTGTGTACACCGCCCCGAGAACCATAGTACCTGAAATAAAAGTTGAGAATTATTCAGTATAATCAAACAAAAGTAGAGGCAAGTAATTAAATATTGAATATGTGAGATTTTCTCTTCAACACTGTAAAATAACATGGCAATGAAATAATTAATGTTATAGTTTATACGATCTATACAATCGATGAAATGGCCTAATTTTGACTTAGCTATCTCACGACTATACTACAACTGAGTTATTTATTAATGCCGACCGATTTGCCCTTAATCTAGTAGTATTATTCTCCAGTTAATTCCTAAATCCTTAAATATAGTTTTTCTATGAATCGTTTGCATTTTAAAGGATAAACTTTAAGAAATATTGTAATTTGTTAATATACGTTTGCTATTTTTATTATTTATCGTGTGATAGCGCCCACTGAATTTTGGTTAGGTTTTTCTTTTAGACAGGTCGAGGAAATTACTATGAAGAATTGGTGCTTGGAGAAATGCCAGACTTTTCTACTTGACGTTGGCTGCTGGGCAATTTACACCGCAGGTCAGATTTAAAATTTAACGCTTTAATCCTGCACCTCCTGTAAATGTAACGTCTCGAGAAAAAAAACCCCGTCCGCATCAGGTTGACTTGAAGTTCGTGTACAAAAGGGGAAAATTCCCACGAAGGTTTGACTGAACCCATTTACAAATATAAACAATAAGTCGAAAACTTTCAGCGTTTCCCCCCCACCTCTCCTAAAAGAACAATAGGTAATTCATCATCTTTCTCCGACGGTTGCGGTAGGCAATGCCGAAATTTCCAGAGAAATGTCGAGACCAACTAATAACAAGACGGATGAACGAAATTTTACAACATCCTTCGCAGGATAATTAATTTTTTCCTGTCGGGGTCTCGGCCCACAAGTCGGGACTATTTCATACTAGTTAAATTAATGTATGAGACGGTTATAATTAATGCATGCTTCTTCAACTTTGAAGTTTTTAAGGTAATTTATATTGGCAAAAAGGCATGTTATTCATTTTGAAAATCATACATTTTAACGTGAAACCTTGCCTTTATTATCGATTTGGTTTTCTAGTTAGCCTTTACGTTACCTTGGCGACTAGTTCAGTTGCCAAATTACCATGACCTTTATACCTTCAACCTTATCTGTATACAAAATTAGTTATAATACTAATTTATTATTATATTTGTTGGAGAACGCAGTTAGGGTTTCGAGTCCTGCCAAACTAACGGTCAGCGGTTCGAATCTCGGCTGAGCCGATTTAATTGAGAATAGTGTGAAAAAAGTAATGTGGTGGTTACGAATAAGCCTTTCTTTTTGTCTGGAATATATATTTAAATCTTACAAACTAATGTAATAAGGAAGTGAAAAGTGTTTTGAATGGTGTAAATTATGTGTATGAACTGTGTTTTTTTAAATTTTGTGTTTATGAATTTTTTTACTGTTAAATGTTTTGTGGTTGTATATTACCGTGTTTTTGTACATGTTCATTTGTTGTTGGTTCATGAAGGTTTTCTGTAAGGTGAGAGGCGTGGTTAAATTATTCATCCTCCCTAAACGATCTTATATGTTGTGTTTTTATTTTCGTAGTGTCAATTCGATGTATTTTGCGTATGTATATACAATTTTTGTCGAATGGGTTGGTTCAATCAATCTTTTCCACGTTGCTGATTTGACTGATTGTTTTTGTTGTTGTTGTTGTCTTCATTAGAAAATTTTAGATGCTTATCTTTCGAATGGTTCTTCTCAGCTGAATAATAAATGTTTTAAGTAATTTAATTATTTTTTTATATTGCCAATAGACCCTTGTCCTTTGTTATGCATGTATTTCGAGGTACCTGTAGGTCGATTTTTTACATGAGTAACGAAAACAATAGGAAGGATCGTATTACATGATAATAGATATATAAAAAGGCACTTAAACAAAAAAAATTCTTATTAGATCGGATAGCCAAGCAGCCATTAAGCATTAGCATGTAAAAGAATCACAATCAATCAGTGAATGCATCCAAAATCTCCAAAACCTGTGGAAACACAACAACCTGATGATATCTTGGGTGCCTGGGCACAGAGGAATTTTGGGTAATGAGAAAGCAGACGGTATGGACAGAGGAGGATCTGCAAGACCATACATAGGTCCCGAACCTATACTTGAGATAACAAAAACAAATATAGAACCCTCCAGCGCAGAATGGATCCAAACAAAACAAAAACAGACGTGTATAAACTCTAGCGGCGCTAGACATAGTAAACTTACGATGGAACAACCTTCACCGAGACTGGCAAAATCATTGCTGCAATAGGAGAGGGCCAAACTCAGAGGAGTGGTAGGACTACCAACCGGTCACTGGCATCTGAGAAAACATCTACACAACATGGGTATATACAACGATGATCCCATTTGCAGATTATGAAATGAGGAAGAGGAAACAGCCACCCATATCATCTTCGAATGTGAAGCAACAGCTCAATGGAGATTTAACCTAACATATGGAAAAAACTTTGGGAATAAAATTACAGCAGCGACAGTCAATGACCTGACACTTGTAAGGAGAACGATTGAGTCTATTGCACAGAACTAAGGAGCAAGGGAGGCTGCAGTGCCTATGGAGCACAAACCCCGCTTCCTCGTATCCTTTTTTACCACACATAAACAAAAAGATTCTTTACATTAAACTGTTTGGTGAATAGGCTAGACCCGCTTAAAGTCTAGGACTTGCGAAAGTGTAGGTCTACCCTCTCCTTTAAATTGACTAGTAAACATTATTACTCAATGAAATTTGAATTATAAATTAATTAAATATATGTTCAAATACATGTTTTTATTACTATTAATTACTCTTAAGTTATAAGGGTTCAAAAGGCCGTTTTACATAGTGTGATTTTATGAGAAGATTTTGAAACCTTAACGACTTACAGTGTTTTTTCATAATAATATTAAAATAAATTATATTGTTTTCGTTGTACTAAAAATATTTAAACATTTGAAAGCTACAAACTGATTATTAGCGGCATATGGCAGGTCAAGTTAATAAAAGCTGAAAACAAAAATGGGACAAATCGATATAGTTTTTGTCTTGTTAGGAAAGTGTGCTTACGGATTTTATTGATACTTTTATATATGTCATGCTGTTTCTTATTTAAACATAAATATTCAAGGTATGTTATTACATAATTCTCTAATTGACAGTATTTGCCATTCCCGATGAAGCGGATCTTCGTATTTGAAATAACACAAATTTACATTTTCATTACATTATTTTTTAACCCTAAAACTATTTCGTAAGAGTACATTTTCTAAAATTGCTTTTAACGTTTGTCATTAGACTTTCTATTGGCGATGTTCGTTTAGTTCAGACACGTTTCAGTATTTTACCATGTTTCTTTTGAGTAGAATCTCGTACAAGGGGTGTGGAATTTTTTTCATTTTACATTCTAAGACAGTCTGCAGGAATTGGAGGCTTTTCCTTTTCCCTCCGGTCTATTTTACCTTCTTTTTTCTGTAATATATTCTGAAACATGCCCGCAATGGTTCCATTTCACTTTACCCTTACTTCGATTATATATTTTTATTTCTGTGAATTTAAAATGCACTTAAATTGGAAACGTTTCAAGATTAAGACAAGTCGTTTCAATCTGATCACGTTTCGGAGCTAGATTTATCGATTGTCTTTATTTTCGCCGTTAAAAAAATCTAAAATTCTCACCCCATTTTTATCCAAAGTGACTGGTAAATTTTCAACGCCAAGGTCAATTTTCTTATTCTTTGTGACAGATGAGCTCGTGTCTTAGACAGAAACTAATTTCATGATGCAGATTAGTAAATTGACTTTCTGCTTACAATGCCATTAACAGAATCCCGCTTCTTCCCTAACGGGACTTCACTTATACTAATGACGCTTGTAAAGGCATTACTCGAAAGAACGACACGGCACGGCTTTATCGGTGATTAAAAGGAAATTTTCGTTATCTCATTTCCTTTTTTGTAATCAATTGGTTGTAACTTGTCTCTTTCAAAATAGTATTCGGTAATTCCTTTATATTTGTGATTCCGTGCAAATTTTCTTTCAATGAAAATTCCTCAGAGAAATCGTCCAAGCTCCTTACTACGTCACTACCTCACAACGATCTTCCTTTTGTCAACGAACTGATCCATTCCCGATTCCAAAAATTCACACCAACCTTTCGATCCAATCTAACCTTACAGCACGAGCCTACACATTCCCAACTCGAAAACCCGCCATCACCTTAATCGACGATGGCCTTGAGATCTTATTCTTTAATCCCACGCACTGAGTGTATATGCCGTGCAGCGCTAGGATAAGTGTTAGTGCTGTGATGTGGGAAAAACATATATAGGATACCGATAAAAAATTGCATTAAACACGAAAAACAAAACCCTAAAGTCCAAGAAAATAATAAATATATATGACAAACGCTCTTTCCCATTCTTCCGGTTTTATGATTTTCTCTCTTCTATTTCTCCGCCATCGCTTTCCTCTTTGTTATGATTATCTGCATTTTTCTTCTTTTAATGCCTGCTCTGTTTGTTACATTTTCAGCTACCTGTCTACCTATCTATGGACACATTTCTATCATATTTCCCGCCTCTTATCTTTCACTCTTTCCCTATCCACTTAACTTTTTCATACAACTTTTTACATGCTCATTCATTCACTATCACTCGTTTACTTTTTTCTCTTACTTTATTTTCTTTTCTTTCTATCTTTCTCGGTCCTCTTCATCGTTTTACGTCTTTTCTTGCTGGTATTCTACCTTTGTCTCTTTGTTAAAATATCGATCTATCTATCGTACTCGATATTCCTGTCTTCCACTTTCTAACTCCGTCTATATATTTTTCCTTTAATTTTTTCAGCCAATTTCCATATTTTTTACTCTCTTTCTTTACGCTCACTTTCTTACTGTCATTCTCTCTCTCCCCTTCTTTGCTTCGATACTTCTTACATTTCCTTCTTATTTTACATCCTCCCTTTTTACCTTTATTTCTCTCTTTCTTATTTTTTCTCCTCT